GAGGGGATGTCAAACACATTTTTGGCATCAGACTTTAAATATTGTCTTGTTCAATGGGGGATTTTTTATTTTTACACCATATCCTACAGTGCTGTAGCTTTAATTTCTTTTTTTCTTTTTCAGGCACAAATATGGATTTTAAAAGATGTAAATCTGCATTTGCACAACAATAAATGTAACAAAACCTAAAAAGCAGAGGCCTCGTGTACAAAGTAACACAGCTTAGACGTGTTTAAAAGTTCATTCATCAGCAACATCTTTTTGTGATTGAGTTGTAATAATATAAAACATTTATCAAATGAAATTTTGATACTGGCGCTGAATGACAACATAATATACCTTATTTCAATGAACAGGTTTAAAATTGTGTCTTAGGGGTCTGAGAAAAAGTATAAAAGGTCAGCAGGAAAAGCACTGAACAGACATTAAAACTTCAAGGGAAAAATGCACCACAAACAGGTAAGTTATTATTTAAAACAGATTTTAATAAATAAGAATAAGAATGACAGGGTTCCAAAATAAGGATTGCCGGGACAAGTAAAATGCAACTTTGGGCTAATAAATCTACACACACTTGGGTGAAAACTTCTTTAATTCTATTGTGTCCATGTTCAATTAAACAGAAGTTAAGGAATTAGCCATCTTGCTTCCTTCTTATCTCAGATTTGCACAGGCTCATATAAAGCCGTCTGTATGATAATCCATGAACTAATGCTTACTGTGAGCTCATTTTACACAACAGGTATCTTTTCAGGTACTTCCTGAAAGTCTGGTCTCGTATGCCATAGATGATCGGACTAATGGATCGTGGCAGGATCTGTATAATAATGTAACAAGCAAACAGGGAGTCTGGATAGTTCTTAGGAAACCATTGCAGTAGAGCGTGTTTTAACAGAGGTTCTGCATACGTTGCCATACACAGCAGCAGCTGAAACCCATGGAGGAGGATTGTGTTTCTGGCTTTCTTAGCGTCTTTGCTAGCAGTTTTTGCAGTGAACAGAATTCTGAAGTAGGTGTAAAAGATAACAAACCAAACTATAACCAGATACACAATATAGGTAATATCCCTCTTTTCGATAATGTGGGGATTTGGAAAAGCAGTTTCTCTGAGGCAGAACACCCGGGTATTAAAGAAGTCCAGAGGCTGAGTGGCCAAGGTGATGAACAGATCAGGAAGAACAGACAGCATGCTGGTCACCCAGATTAAACCAATCAGCATTAAAGTTCTCTTGATGGTGCAGATCTGTATGTGGTGGAGGGGTGCGCAGATGGCGATGTAGCACTCCACCGCCATGCAGGCCAGGTTCAGAGGAGTGTTTTCAGTGGTGAAAAGAGCAAGCAGGATGAAGGTGCAACAGACAGAGACATTTATTTTGTAGAGGATGTAGCTGATGATGAATAGCATGACTGTCAGCATGACCTGGATCATGTCGTTGACAACCAAGTGGAAAAACAGTATATACCGAGGATTCATGTAGAATATCTGAAAGATGGAAAGAAAACACGGGCGGGAAGTAAAAGTTTGTTTTTACAGTAAGTGTACAGCAGCATTATACAGGAATAGCAATACTTTATAGTTACAAATATTGGATTGATGATTACATTAACTTGTTTGTGCCATTTCTTACAATTTACTGTCAAATCATTGAAAGGTTCTTTAACTCTCAAAAGACACCAGTTGCCGTTAAGTTTACTACAGTCATCGTCATATTGCTCGGACTCCCAGTCAACTCAGCCACACTGAATAACATTATCGGGCCGCCCCGCAATGCCAGCTGATAGTAACCTGCATACGTCAAAGCCAGGAGTCTGGTTGGCTTGGTCAGTACTCCACTATAATAAACCCAATAAAATTCAGTTCATTTTACTGTATTACTGTATTTACTGTACTGTATTGTCCACCTCCGCCTGCTAGTGTTACAAAGCTGCTCTCTTTTCCAACTACATCTAAGCAATTTGCTGTGAAAATATGTGTCACTGTTAAAAATAATTTTCAATGCATTTATAGTTAAAAAACCCAGAAAGATTTAGTTAAAACGCTATTGCTGATTGCAGTTTCAGAAGTGGTATTGTCCCAGTTAAACTTTCACTCATATGAAATCAATAATTTAAGATGACAAATTTAATGTTTATGAACCAAGACCTCCTGAATTTGGATTAAGTACAGTAGCTTGTAAATTTAGTAGGCTACACCTGTTATTTTCAGATATCCACCGATCAGCCATAACATTATAACCACTGGACTCCCTGACTGGTCCCAGACCAACAGACTGTGATGCACTGTGTGTTCTGACCTCTTTCTATCAGAGCTAGCATTTACTGTTTCAGCAGTTTGAGCTGCAGTAGCTCATCAGTTGGATCAGACCACACGGG